TGCGGGCACGAGCGTCTGCAGGTGGTGGAGCTGGACAACTGCCCGCTCATCACCGACGTCACGCTGGAGCACCTGAAGAGCTGCCACAACCTGGAGCGCATCGAGCTGTACGACTGCCAGCAGGTCACGCGGGCGGGCATCAAGAGGATCCGGGTGAGTGCGCCCGGACCGCCGCCGCGGGCGGAAGGGGGCGGAGTTTAGGAAGTCCCGCCTCGGCCGTGCTTCCCCTGACACCCCGACCCCCCCCCCCCCCCCCCCCCGTCGGCGCGGCGCGGACGGAGCGCTTGCGGGCCCCGTCCGGGTGTGGGGAGGGCTGTCGTGCTGAGCTAGACCCTGTATTTCTGTTGTCGCGCTGATGCCTCTGTGTCATTGGCGTATCGTTCTCCCCTTTCGCTTAACCCGTAATGCTCTTCGCTAGTTCTCTCTCGTACAGTAATCGTGCTGTTGTGTGGTTAGAAAATGGTTCACGGCACGCCTGTGTGGTTGCGTGTACAGTACGTTACCGACTCCGTTCTCAGTTTTCGTCTAGGGTCCAGGTAAGGACATCTGGGACAGATACCGTATCCTTGAGCTCCTTTGCGGTACCTGACCCTTTCAGCATTTCTGAGGCCAACCCCCACACCCGGCTGGTCCCAGCCAGAGGGTGGTCGTGTGACACTGCAGAAACCAGGATAAGGCTTGGTTTGAGGAGGCAGAAGTGCTGTTCGCGTCAGGAGTGCGTGTTAAATGATCTGAGGGTTCCCAGCAGTTCGATGACTGATGCCATCAAGCTCCGCTGTCTGTAAGCCCCCGGGCGCATGACCGTGAATGAGCTGCCTCCGCAGATGCCCAATACGGCCGTGTGTTCTTGTTTTTGCAGGCGCACCTGCCTGAGATCAAAGTGCACGCCTACTTTGCCCCGGTCACCCCCCCTCCGTCCGTGCACGGCGGCGGCCAGCGGCTCTGCAGGTGCTGTATCATTCTTTGACAGCAGAGGGCGTGGGGGGGCTCTGTGCCCCACCCTGCTTGTGTGAAGGATGGAGGATTGGGATGCTGGTGATAATCTCGACCCTCCCAGTCTGGGAGAGGAAGACTGGTGGTTGGGGGGGGGGGAGAGGAGGAGGAGAGACCTCTTGCTTGCTGAATGGCGATGAGTGCTGGATGTCTTTCTCTTGAGCGTGCCCACGCAACGCTGAGGACGACAAAGGGAGGGAGGGCCAGGGAAAGACGGCAGCAGCCGGCAAACGAGGGAATCTGGATTTGTGGATGAGGAGACTACAACAACACATTTCCTTGTGGAATATCGGGCAATGCTTCCATTTCAAAAGAGTCTGTACTTCAGTCCACGTACCCTTGTGTTATTGTGCTTCTTACAGTAATGTTACAGTGTGGTATCATGGTAGCGGAAGAGCGCTGAACCTTGTGGTTAAGCGGTTGTAGGCAAAGCAGTCGACTCGTATCGGTGAATCCGTGGATTTCTGGGAATTTTCCATGGGAGGAGTTCGGCGTGGCTCAAAGATCAAATCCGGGAGGGGCTCAAGAATGCTCTCTGCTAGCGGATGGCGAGTTTGGTTCTTGCGAAAAAGAAAATGAAGCTAAAAACCGAAGGTGTGGGAAGTGGTTTTGCGGCATCTGTTGAAGAGCGGGTGGATGAAATCTCGGCCGAAATAATTCTGTGGATCGAAAAGAGGTATCAGCGTTAACGTCATTGTGTGAAGATCTTGTATTGCTGGCTCAAAAAAGAAGATAAAATGGTAATGTGTGTTTTTGCATTCAGGAGGGAGTTCAGCGGTAACTACTTCATGCATTTGTTTTTTGTTTTTTATCAGTGCTAATTGGTGTCCAGGCTTGGCTATTCTGGGGGCAGAAGGTACATTATAGACATCTGAAAACTAGAGCATGGTAACTTATAAATGAAACCTATCCTTACAAAAAAAGAGCTGGACATCCCTTTTAAGCAAAAATCTGATTAACTCCTTTCGGATGACAGTTTGCCTGCGACCAAGATATTTTAAGAATTTAGTGATCTGCTCACAGCAGTAGCATATATAAATATTTTGTATAGTTTTTTTTTTTTTTACACACACACTTCATGTGCAGTGGAATGAGTTGAAGGGGGCTGCTAGCCTTTTAGTTTACCAGCTGCGGAAAGAATTACTCTCACAGTGTTTTAAGGCCATCATGTAATATTTGTGCAATGCGTGGAATGGTATTTGATGGCCTGTACAAAGTTGGTTTGTAGTATTTTTAAATAAAATGTCTCTTATACTGTACATCAGGTGAGGGCTGTCTGGAAAGCCTCACTGTGCTGTGACACACAACCATTCTTCTGTACCTACATCAAGGAGCTACTTCTAAATTACTTATTAATGTGTAAAAAAGGAAACATGCACTGTTTTCCTAAATTATTGCTTATGGTAGAGAGGTTAGGATTTTACCCTTGTTTTTTTTTCTGTTCTTTCTTCCAAAGATTTGTGAGAAGTCCTAGGTTTATTATTTTTCCTGAAATAGTGAAAGAAAAGAAAATATTATTGAGCGCAAGACAATGAGATAAGAGATGGTAGACATGTTTATCATAGTACCTGGCCATCTTGAGTGTGTATATTTATATCTGTTGCTGCTATGCTGGAGAAAGAAAGAAATCTTTATTTTTAAAGCTTTGTGCAGCTCATGAAAACTGAAACCATAATCTTTGACAATATGCCTTATTTAATTGCAAAGTGATTATAAAATGTATGTTTGTGATTGCACTTGCTCTAATGTGAGTATTGTTGTCCAAGAACTTTTATAGTTTAAGGTTCTTTGCTGTTGGAATTCTGCGCACAAGTATCTAGAATTTTGTTTTGTTGCTCTTTTAGGCTCAATTGATCATTTTTCTGTACACATTCCTACCTTGATAAATGTAAAGTAATTTATTAAACATGATTTTGTGGCAGTAGGTTTATCACCGTCTCTCAGATCGAAATGGCCTAGAAATTGTTTCTGTTGGAGCGGAATATCTATTTATAAATATCTTTCTACCTAGGTCCAAAGCAGTCACTGCAGTCCTGTTAATCCATTCTCGCGTCAATACGACCAGAAATTAAATACAAATCTGGTTGTCCAAATGTTGCCATTGGGTGAACCAGGAAAGCTTGCCAGCAAAGTAGCCCTACACTAATCTGTCATTGTGCAGTTTGTGCTGAGAATGGCTTTGTACCTTGCTAACAGTTTTATTTCAGGGCAATGAATGAATGAATATACAATAGAGGAAAAAATATTTTATGCCCTACAAGTTTCTGATTGTAAAAAGCATACAGTTAAAATGTTAAATATCCAATACTTGAATATTGAATATACACACATTATTTTAGTCTGGCTCATGTACTAGAATATAGCTCCGTCCCTAAAGAGATCACAGGCGTTCGAGACCAGGTTGTGAAGGTGCTAAACATCCAGTACAGCGATGAGGTATTGCAAAAAAGAAGCTTGGTCTCCATCTTCTACCAAGAGAGAGCTTTCTTTGAAAATGGCTTCTAAACCGTTTAAAAGCACTCAAGGAGAGACGAGCCACTCTCTCAGACTTTGTAGCTTGCAGTTGTCATTAGCTGGACTGTCCAACAGCTACATGCTTAAGTAAACCTTTACTAAGATGAACATCCCAATAAGTTTTTAAGGTGGACCTGTTTCATTATTGTAGTGTGTTACTAGTACACATGACTTGTCAGGAACAAACACATCAACATGGAGATTGTAAATCTCAGTATTGTGGTGGCTTTTCATCTCACTTAGCATACTAAGGTGAGTGATGAGTGCAAAGCGGCTCATCCAGAAAACCCCGTCTATTTCCAGAAATGGTCGCAGAATTTCAACAGTATCAAAGAAGTGTCAGTAATCATGTGACATCTGTGGTCACATCTGCTTGAGCCTGAAACTTTTGTTCAGCACTGATATTTTTTTCTTTCCCCTCCTTCGCCCCAAAGGATTCTTCTGAGTTGCTTGAAACCCAAATATTTTGGGAAAACTATACTGATGAAACACACACCTGTGTACACCAATGATACCGATACTTACTGGCTATTAACACAGAGTACATTTTGCTCCTTGTCATCAATACTAATGGTGTCTCTAGGACAAATGATTTAACAACTTTTGTTAAATTAAAAAAAAAAAATGATAGTGAAATTGCTCTGGCTGTTATTTCAATAGAAGTTAATCAAATAAAATATCACAAATCATGTATTTTATCTCTTGGAAGGATGTTTATACCAGAAAAGTGTTTTTTGTTTATTTTAAACCAGCACAGTATTCTTGATGATGCTTGTTTTTTTTTTCAGCTTTTCATTCTTGTATAAGTCTTATTAGAACTTTATTCATGGTTTACTGGTTATTTCTTCAGGTGGTTCATAAGAGAAAATGGTAGGAAGGTGCTTTAAAACCATTTTTTTTTTAACTCCACCATTAATTCTGGTGTCCTCTTAAATATTTAGTTGAAATATGTGGTCACCTTTCTTACAGATTTGACCATCACAACTGTTGAGCATTTAAGGACACTGTAATTGTGCTACATAAATTTTCTTCCCCCCCAAAGCAGTGCAATATGAATCGAGTACAAATTTGATGATAAATGCTACTGTGCATATGACCAATAGCACCACTTTGACCTAAAGATGGGGCTTAACTCTTACTGATTCTTGTACGAATGGTGTACACGAAATGCTTCTGAAACCCCCTGCTGAAGAAACTACAGCTGAGGTTTGTGATGTGGGATTTTTCAGTGCAAGATGAAGTGTTTACCATATAACGTACGTGCACAGAAGAAACAAACTCAAGATGGAGCTGAAACAGAATGCCATTTTTGTACAATACCTCTAGGAGCTCAAAAGCTGGAAAATCGACGGAGGGAAACTCCACATTTTCAATTTGGGATGAACACCAAGGCTTACGAATCAGTTTATTAACTCTTGCAGCACAGGTTTGTTTTTTTTCCTCTCCATGTTCTCCCAGGTGTGAGCATGAAAAAAAGTGGCAAGTCACTCTGGTCATTTTTAAGTTTTTTTTATTACAGTAGAATATGAAAAGTACCAACGAATGCATTGCTGATTCTCATACAACCCTGCACAGGTTTGTTTCAGTGCAGAAAGACAATTGTTAAACTTTAAGAAAGTCGTACCCCCCCACCTTTCCCTCATGCCCTAATAATTAATGGCAAACAAAAGACATGCCATACAGAGCCTTTCAAGACATAAAGCAACATGACAAACTAAGAATTCTGTCCTATGACCAGCAGAAAGCATAACATCTTGATTGCAATGAAAAGAAAATTAAACATTTCTTAAAAAGTCAACTTAAAATATTTCCCTTTAGGATTCAAGAACCATCAGGGCCTCTAATTAAGACAACTAGAAAACACAAAAAAAAAAACATGCAAGCTAAAATGAAAAAAAAAAAAACAAGCAAAAACGGGACCAGAAACTAGTCAGCCAAAGGTGGCACCAGTTAACTCTTACGAAATGCTTTGACGGACCACCGGCTTGAATAAGCTGAAAAAACACTTTCCCCAACTTGAGTACTTCAAGATTACTGTATTTTTCAGTGTTTACTGTGATTGAGTAGCTAAACATCGGCAACTGTTCCGTGCTCTAGTCAGTGTGGCAGTGTGAGAACTGCAGGGCCTGTGAGGTCAAGAGGAAAGGCCCTTGCTCTCAAGGATAATATTAAATAAGCATAAAGGTGAAGCAGTTTTCAGATGTGTCCATTTACGGTTTTCTGCCAGTTCTGACTCTGACATATCTCCATGAACAAATCACATTATTCATGCCACAGGGAGTGGGGGGAATAATGATATGAAAATTGCTGTAAGTTTTGATTAAACCCCCCCCACAAAACCACAGTGATGTGCCTTACAGTGAATACAAACTGGAGGCTCCTGGTGGTTTTTCGATGACATGGCTCGCAAGAAGACACTTCACAGGTAACCTGTGTGCTACGTGCATACAGGTGCAACCTAACATTTGAATGGCACAAAAAAAAAAAATGAGGCACATCAGGAAGCCCCAAATCAAAACGATCTAAAACAAAATAACAAAATAACAGCCTCATAGCATAATATGCAACAGTTTGCTTTTATATGCAATTTGTTTTGTCACAGGCTTTGCGTATTTCCAGGTAACTCAGCCTTACGGGACACCTGGAAAGCAATGCCCTCGTGTTCCCGCCTGTTACCTGCACTGTTCACAAGATCTTTCAGCAGAAGCCCCTCTCCCCCCCCATCAGAGTCGAGCGGTCTCCGCAACCGAATCCTGAGTCTTCGAGGAGTCCCCATCGAAACCTAATAGGTCTGGTTAAGAGCACGTCGTCTTAATAACCTTCTCGCCCCCCCAAAAAAAAAAATCTGAAAGACTCGTTTCGAGGAAAGGTTAACAAATCTATTGCAAGAAAACAAAACCCCAAAGTAAGAGACTCGACAGCTGTAGCTGTCCAGAATAAAATGGGGGGTCCCTTTGCAATCAGGATGCATAAAGAAAAATTCTCTCTAAAGAAACCCGTTATCATCTCACGAACTCTCTGCGCAGCCAGGAAGCAGTTTTCTACAGTTCATTTCAGTCCATTCCCAGTACAACAGCAATAGAACAATATTTTTTTCTATATATTCAAGTTACACAATAGATATAGTAGTACACAATATATTTCAGTACTGGCCTTGTATTTGCCTGATTCAGTTTAAGGCTGTGCATCGTTTACTTCGTCGTGGTGGAGGCGTCTTCCAAGCTGGAATGAAGAAGCTGCAGCATTAAGCAGGCGCTGCGAGATCGGGGAGAGGAGGCAGAGGTGGGGAAACAGGCTTCGCTCTCTAACCCCTTCCCAAACAGCCCATCCCCTTCCCCCATAATTGTGTTTTCAATATGAAACAATTTATACACTGAAGTCAGATTCTAACATTTACTTGGATTTGCTCAGTGATTCCTGTAACGATGTGCGATGGTACACTCGCAAAAGAAGAAAATCTTCCTCCAGCTCGTAAAAACGTCATGGCACTCTTTTCATTTTAAGATGACATGGTACCCTTCGCCATTTTCAGCTGCAGCAAGAAAGCAGAATTAGAAACTTCAGTCGCACAAAGCTCAAATGTTACATAACACTAATATACTTGTGCATCTTGCCATGAGTGTTCTACAAATTCATTTTATGGGTAAACGCAACT